GAAAGAGTACTTTCAATAAAACTGCATTTTCTGTTAAAGCTGCATCAAATAAAAATCCATCCAACTGCAATCAGAGAATTGGATACATACAGCTCATTTAATTAATAATAAAACCTGTGTAAATAAATGGTTAATCAGTCCTCAGCTATGTCAACACTGAAACTGAAGTTGCATGTTGCTGTCCTTAGTCTGTTGTTGCCACTTGCATTTTTCTGCCATTCTGCCCTGAATTGCTGCATGTATGTATGTGTGTATTTGTGACTTGTTTTTTTTCTGGGTTGGTCATGTATACTATGCGTGGTGCTATGTTCATACTTGACACCTGTCAGTTCTTGTCTGTGTACGTACTCATTGTATTGCTGCCCTTACTAGTGTGTATTGCCACTTGTAGATCTTGTGCTGTATTGATTCTTGTTGATGCTTGTATGTTGTTCCTCAAATATAACTTGCTTTGGATAAAAGCATCTGCCAATGAGAAAATGTAATGTAAATTATGAGCTATGGGTTGCACGTTGAATATCTTGTAATAGTCTTTAAAGTATATGAAGTCCATGGAGAAGTATATCAGTACAGTGTCTGCTTTTTTAAATCTCATTTTGTTGCATGCTTTCATAATGAATGACTTTTTAAAATTATGTTATAATTGTTTTTAGGTTGACTATGTAACAATTGTCAGGGACTACAGATGAAAATAGTCTTTTGGCTAACTCTGGCGCATTTGCATTTATGCTTATTAATGTGCACTGCCCCTGCTATGTTAAAATGATTAAATAAATAAAAAATAAACTTCTCCTTCTCCTGTTGTAGGTCTGGCTGTGCAAACTGCTGCAGGTGAGCTGATGGAAGTCTGTCTGTCTGTCTGTTGACCTCTGACCTTTAGTGACCTCTGACCTTTAGTGACCTCTGTCCACCTGTTGCAGGTGCGGCTGTGTTGCTGTGTGGACTGCTTGTTTCTGCAGGTGAGCTGATGGAAGTGAATTATTTCTAAAAGATCCAGAACAAGTTGAACAGCAGCAGAGGAGAAAGAAAGAAATAGGAGGATTTCATAAACTTTTTTGTTTATATAAAATCAAGCATTACAGTTATCGGTAATACAAGCAATAGCATACAGTTGAGCTTACAGATCTCACATTAAGTATCTTGCGGAAAGTCAGATTAGGAACACGAGACCACAATGAATGACATTTGGTTCTTCATTGTTTGTTGATACTTCTGTGTGAAATGAACATAAAATAAAGGTATAAATCTGTGTTGATGAGGTGATTCCACCAACTGTCCAGACCCAGACAGTCCAGAATATATCAGTGTTAACACAACTATATCATTCTTTACATTTCATTTTATAATTATGATTCTTGACTTTTACAGTCCTTGTTTTTTATTTTCTCTCACTATGTTTATTGTTCTGCACCAAAAAGACAAATTCCTTGGATGTTGAAAACCTACTTGGCAACAAACCTGACTGTGATTCTTGTTCTCCTCCGTCAGACTCCTCTCTGTCTGTGCTCAGACTCTGCTGCCATCTAGTGGTCTTCTGTCCATACGGCGTCTCTACTGGTCTGATGCTGTCCATCTGCTGCAGCGGAAGACAGGAAACAAACCGCCGTCTCCATGGAGATGACCCAGCGGGGGAGGAAGTGACGAATTTGATGGCGATTACAATGACATCACTGCTGATGTCACCACTGAGCACGCCTTCTGAGCTGTGAACAGAGTGACAGCAGCTGTCTTTAAAATGGACTCTGATCAATAACATGATGGATCTGAAGATGAGAGTTTCTATCATCTGCTCTTATGGAGATGCTGCTGGAGAGCATTGTCTTACACGTTGCTCCAGAATCTTCCACAGGTGTGAAACCGGGTTGAGATCTGGTGACTGTAAAGGCCGCAGCATTTTATTCACATCATTTTCATCCTCACCAACGTTCAGTGACCCCTGCACGAAGCATCTGCATCTGATGTTCCTCCTCTCTTGATTCAGCTTCTTCCTTTCATTTGTCCCGTCTGTTTGTGTAGAAGCCTGCTTTTTGGTAGATTTGCTAAAACCCCCTCCTCCATTGTAGAAAAGGAGGAGGAGTTCTGAGGGAAGTCAGATCTTTGAAGACCTTTTGGACCTTCTAGGTCTTTCAGAGCTCTTTTCCTTTTTGCTCAGACCTTTTGTCAGCTTTTACATTTCTGCAGCCTTTTCAGACTCAGGAATTCTGTTTGGTTTCTTTCCTCTTTTTATTCTCTTCTATCTCAAAGTGTTTCTGGACGTAGGCTTTGTTTGTTTTTAAGCTTTGCTAAATAAAACCAGGTAGATCATTTTGATCTATTGAAAGGTTGATGATTCTGGACCTGATCCTTTCATCCCCTCATCCAAGGCTTCCTTCACAACATTTCAGTAAGGCCCCTTGTTTTCTAACAAGTCTCTAAAATGTCAGGAATGCTAATCTCTGTTCCTCAAGAGAGGGAGCAGCTGTAGAGGTGTTAGGACAGGAACCTGAGGCAGAGGAGAAGCCTAGTGCGAGGGGGAAGCCCTCTTCGGTCCTCTGCTTCTCTGTCAGATAATCATATTCTCTTATTTGACAAATATGCAACATTCACTGCCACTAAATGTCGCACTAGAGCAGCAGCATCTCAGACCAGAACAGATGGGCGCTACGGCTCCGAGGTCTGGGATCAGATCTACGAGTGTCTGAAGAGATGCATGATGAACGTCAACAATGACAACGAGCTGACGAGCGACATCAAACGGATCGAGCTACAGCTGAAGAACTCCACGGTGAGGGACGGCACATGTCGTCTCAGGCTCTGAAGGCCTGGGTAACGGGGCGGCCTTCCACATCCAGATGCTGATCCACCTGGTGAGACTCAGAGGGATTAAATCCTGAGACCCTGTACAGAGACTCCACTCTGCTTACCTGAGAGACCTGGACCTGCTGTTCAACAAGCACAGAGAGGTGATAGAAGGAAAGTGCAGGATGAGATGGAGGATATTTTCATCCCCCAGAAAGGCTTCTAGATATCTGATGAAAATGCAAAGTGGCACTACATTCATCTTTTCGACAAACATAAATATCATGAGGTTAATTATGATCACAGGTAAGGCCAGCAGAAGCGTGAGATTCAGCAGTACTTGAGTGATGTAAAAAAAAAAAACCTGCAGGAGCTGGTTCATGAAAGAGGCTCCTTTAATGTAAACTGAGAGAGAGGCTGATGGATCTGAAGAGATGAACCACATGGCCACAAGGATGTGACAGTTGAACATGTAGTTCAAGAACCAGGACTTTTTAGCACAGGGGCATTTCATCAGGGCTGTAGTACTCAAGTCTGGTCCTGGTCTTTAGACTTATGTTTTATTTATCTTGGAGATGTCTCTTGTTTTTTCGTCCAGGACTGGAAATCTGACGTGTCAAGTCAGAGTTCTAAAAGTTAGATTGGTTCATCTTGGTCTCATGGTTGTTTTGACTCTCGTTTTTTCTCGGACTTGTAGGTCTCTGTAACATTTTTGAAGAAACTGGCAGATGTGAACCCAGAAGCAAGAAGAGACAGGGATTACACAATAAAATGCAGTCAAGGGTCAGAAAACTGGGTGATCTGTCAAATTTAGGCAACCAAATCCAAAAGGGCAGACAGATAAGAAACTACCACTCCAACAAAGAGGCGGCAGACAGTCAAGGCCGGTGCCTCGTCGATGAGTTGGGAGGTGGTGAGGAAAGGTTAGACACAGGTCTA